TCAGGGCATTTTTGGCTGTTTGACCTGGAGATACCCAAGACATTACAGAGACCAGCGCCTGCAGCTCAAAACAATCAGTATTAAGCATCAGCTAGCCATTTAATAAAATTAATTTAAAAATTTATACGGTAACACTTTGTTACTTTCCGCTATGCCTGAAGCTGTGGTATAGTAGGCTTTGCCTGACGCACCTATTAAGTGGTGTTTTTCCATTGTAAGTATCTGATATCAACAGTTTCGATGATAATTACAGTACACGGAGCGATTGCTATTTGGACCATATATATGGTTTTTCTTTTGCTTCGGGAAGTCGTAATAGCAATCGATACGTTCTGTGAATGCTATCACTTAGCACAGAATTTTACGCTCTTTTAATTGAGAACACCCATTTTTTTATTTGCAGGTATGGGAAACACCCTAGTGTACATGGTTCGTCTATTGAATGAAACTTACACTGCGTTCAAATCCCATGGTATACGTTTTACCTGTGTAAAATCAAAAATGAAACAAAAAATAAATAAATAAAGAAGAAAAAGGGTAAAAGAGTATAATATTATACCCGAGCCAGTTTGTCCATAAGCACACAAAGTAGTGTTGAATCCTTTTATAGCCACATCAATTAGTGGCTTCACGAGCACGTCAAACAGCTCAGATTGATTGGAGTCGACAAATAAATGGTCATAAGAGAATATTGCCCCATTATCGAGGCCGATGATCTTTAAGAATATAACAATTAAAATTAAACGAACAATTGATGAATTTAGTTGTATATTTACATTTTCGTCGAGTTTTTCAATGACAACATCTCGGTTCTCATTGATTGGTGGTGGCCGCCAGCGAATTGCTGTTTTTACATGATCATTTGGTTTCATAATATTTTAAATAAATCGTATTTTCCGTTAAATGATGATTTCGAAAATGCACAGAACTTTGTTATATTTAAACAAACACAGAATTCTGAAGTGAGTTACATGAAATTGAAACTTTTTTATTCGATAAATGACAAATACAAAGCAACAATTTTCAGTTACAAACACAGTCCAACTACATTTTTAAAACTATCAAACATACAATGAAACACAAATGCACTCCAGATAACATTGGTTGTGCGTGTGTGACAGTTCGACCAAACAAACGAAGTCGTTCGGGGTACATTCGGGCTTTGATTACGTTGAACGGTTTGAATTCGGTGCATTTCTTTGCGAAGCGAAAAAAAACGATTTTGTGGAACGGAACATATCTTGACCTAAATAAATTCTATTTTATACATTATAACTGGATTTCCCCAATACTTGCAATGAAGATAATTCGGGCAGATTATTTTTTTCTAGTTAGTTCCGGCTTTCTCTTGAACATTAAATAGAAAGTATGATGCAATTAATTAAATTATGTCTGTTCTTTGTGCGAAAGTGTATAAAAAGATCATGTTTTATAGATTGAGTGAACATAACATTCATTTTTTTGACAAGAGCAGTTTTAAAAACATTCTTATAAATTAATTGCATTTAGATTCAAATCAAAATGAAAACTGTAACTTTTTTTTATGCATTTATCGGGTGTGGTAACCTCTATCTGTCATTTATTTCAGTGTTTGCCTTTGATTATTAAATGATCGGACCAGGTTACCCAAGGCATCCCATTCCTTCGATTCATTTTCCATTCTGTTCCATTACTTATTCATTCGTACATATATGAAACATGCTGTATTCGAACATTGACATTTTTAGGTACATATGGTTTATACGTCAAAGTGAAAACGAAAAATAGACATAAACAATTGACTACAAAGCTTATGTGAATTGTAAAATCGTTGTTTTCATATTTCAATAATAAAAATGGCACAATCCATGGATATTTCGGTGGAATCAGACATTGATTATGTTATTCATGGCATCACATACGGTGAGATCTTTCAACCGTAAGTGCAGCAGTGTTAAATTCATCATCTTATAGCGCGAATGATTGATTTGTGTATTATTTATAGGCCGCTAGCACTGTCGGAGAAT